GGATCGTGTAAGTGGAGCGTGTACGGGCTGTTAGGCCATACAGGCTTGTAATGTAACTGTGGAGGCATCTTTACCCTTTTTCTTTAATACATGATATGCACACTCATGCATATTCGAGAAAAAAAAATCATAAAATCTCACATGTAAATGACTCGACGTTTGTTTCTAGTAACCACACTCGCCGAATCGAAAATTGGTACCATTTCTCCCCACACCGTGCCATCCAAGCATCATGTTTAGAACACAAGTTATTGATTCACACCTTTTTTTGAAGAAGAAAGTGCATGTCACGCCGTTGAATAATCCCCAATCCCTAACCCCAAAGGTGCACCCCATGTATCCACCGAGTCCAGATCCGAGGTTCCCCTCGTCTCACCCCAGCATGGTGGCTGCCTGGCCGGAGGTGACAATGGGAACCAGCACGACGTAGACAGGTGATTGCTAGCATAGATTGGAGGAAAGGGAGAAAGTATCTCGTGGAAACATACCACTCGGCGAAAACTTGGTAACTCCAATACGGGCCATTGGATCTGCAATCTAATGGCCAAGTCATCCACCCACCATTCCGTGGCTTTTACAAGAAGGAAAAACCATGTGCTTTGTGTACTACAATAACTAGCCCTAGGGTGCTTGCATGCAAAAATATACTAGATTCAATCAGCAGCCCAAATTCCAGACCCAACGGCCCAGTCTGAGTTTCCAAGTTCCTCCAATGAAAGGAGAGAGTCTCGCTCTCAGGGCACTTGAAATGCCGAAGAAAGGACTGCTGCATATACCGGCTCGGTAATAAATTAGCTGAATGTGACTCCAGAGTATTGGATGCAGAAGTTTTACAGTAACCTATACTAGTACACTAAGATTTCGTCCTCAGCACAACATAGCAATAGAAAAACTGCATCAGAACAGTACTGAAAACTTTATGTCGGGCTCAGGAAAGTTCGGATATCACTCGCTCGCACTTCTCCTCAAGGATCTTCACGGCCTCTGTGAAGAGCACCTCCGGCGGTAGAGCTCCGGTGGACTCGATTGTAACTAAACCAGCAGAAACAAGCAACAAAAAAAGACACTGATTAGCAGCAGGCTAGAAGAATCAAACCCCGCAAAAAAAAAAAGAATCAGAACCATTATAAACAGGTCATTTGCTACTTACAAATGAAGTGGTCTCTAACACGCCGTAGCTCTACTTGATCATCAGCCAGTCTGACACATTCCCTACAAAGGGTGCATGCTCTTGGCTTTGCAACAACTGCTCTCTTCTCCCCTGGACAGTGGAGATATAAGGGGTGAACATAAGCTTCGGGCAAGAACGCAGCTTGGAAAAATAAAGGCACAGCATATGGGCACCTATAAACACTAAGACACTTTCCATGTTGACGCCACGCGGATTATCTAATTGCTTTTGATCCCTTGACCCTTGTTAGTTACTTGTTTGAACTTTGAACCAATTCATTCCCATGTTGACTAGTACAAAATGAATGTTGAGGACATTTGGTAAGTTACAAATGCTTCAAAAACAACCATCTTAGTGATCTAAACTTAAGTAATTAGGGTCCAGTGGGTGCTCGAGTCGTAGTTAAATGCCAACATAAATGGACTAAAGTGCTCGTAAACATCCAAATAAACCGGAACTGGTCAGACAGGCCAACAATAGCAGGAGTTATAGACACTAAAGACAACTCAGGACTGCAGAGTTGAAGTTAACCTTTAGAAGATACCTCTGGAGTTGAATTGAACTAGAAATTGTGGACCAAGTTAGTTGACCTATATAAAGGACTAGTGTGTAACCATTTTAGTCAAGCAATTAATAAACAGAAGCTCCAGTAAGCCTCAGGAACAAGCCCTGTCACTGGATTACAGAGCACGGTCTTTCTGGAACATTATCCCCTATTTACCATCATGGACAGAAGTCCATAACAACTTGTTGTCAAGCCAATTGCTGCTCTGCAATTAGAGTACTCATGTGTTCATTCCTGCACTTCAGAACCTTTCGTGGCCACCTAGAATCCATATAATTTTGCGGATGCTGTCCAACCAAAAATAGCTAAAATGTTAGTGCCTTGCTCTTCTTTCTTTTTTTCTGCTTCGAATCCCAAAGTATTAATCGCCTGTTTCCAGAGTGTGCTATTGCCAAATTATGGGGAAGTGAGTTTCTGAATTGGTTGGGAAGATACTGGTATGTACTATGGTTGAATTGCTAGTCCCTGTTTGGTGATTCCAAACTTACACCTATTGATATTATATCTTCAGCAGTGATGTGATTTGAATGGAAACCGAGAAATTATTCACTGTTCCTGAGGATTGCTGCTTCCGGATGGAGGTACCATGATAGAGATAGAGATGGGGTCAAGTGCCAGGAGATTGTTGTGCTGGGGCTATACGTTACAACTTACTGGGACTTTGGAAACGTCAATGGGGTCACAGAAATATGGCTGGCGCCATGGGAAAATAAATGCTCAAGGGAGATGTGGTCATCCTGGAAGAACTGAGAGACCCTGCACATGCTATGATGGTTATTTGCAGCAACAATGGAATGTTTGTGTACTGTGGGAGACATAGGAAAGGAAATGCTCAAGGGAGATGTGGTGACCCTGGAAGAACTGAGAGAGACCCTGCACATGCTGTGATGGTTATTTGCAGCAACAATGGAATGTTTGTGTACTGTGTTTTTGTCTCTGTAGAGCTAGCGGTGCCAGGACTCTAGTGGCTATAATGATCTAGTAGTCATGGAGGTTGTGTCCATCTTCAGCGTAGTGGTGGTATAAAAAAGCTCAAACCTAGGACTGCGGTTAATTAGATCTTCCATTTTCAATGGAAATGAAACTAGGCCTAGGACTTTTTATTTGTAAAATTTAGGCAATATCACAAAATGATGATCTGGTAGACATGGTGTTACTAGGATTTTTTTTTCGAGAAAACGCAAAAGACCTTGTGTTACTAGGATTGACAAACCCCTCCCTTGCTACTCAGATACAACAGTAAATAAACAAGCACACCAGCAGCTACTAAAACTTCTCAGCCTCTCAAAATAGGAAGTCAAAGACAAGTTACCCTTTCCCAGGTCTTCAATGTCAAAAACATTAACTGGGCATCTTTTCACTAGCTCCTCTGCATCACCATTTTTAATTTCTTTGAGAAGAACAACCTACATGATAACAAAACAATCAGCAGTGGAGAAGAAGAGTTTGCAGTTACTCGACATATAATTACTGGAAATGCCATAACACGAATTTTACCTCGGGGAGCATCCTGTACCAGGCTGTAGCAACTGGAGACCACTTCGCATGAACTTTCCCCACTCCCTTAACAGCATGTGCCTCAAGCTCAATAGCCTGAAATAGAACAAAAAATATTAGAACACATGATGATTGACTATTAACACAAACGGCACTCCCTGAAAATGCGTAAAAGAACTTTAAAGTAGCATCAAAAAATTCTATTAGGCATACACTGACTCACATAAACTTAGACTTGATTATTTAAATCATGACAAAAAGGTTATTCATCTAAATGAAGGTACCAAGTATAATATAACTATTAGTAACAAAATAACCTGTCCTGGCCCAAGCCTGGCAATTGTTATGTCATTATACTTCACACCGAGAGGCCTTTCAGAGGTATTCTGTTGGCTTTGACCAAAGGATGTGTAGGTCCTCTGATTGTCCCCAGATTGCGCAGGAGATGCCATAGTTAATTGACTGCCTTCTGGCAACCACTCCAATTGACCAGACTTAACTGCGAGCCAGGAAAGCTGTAAGCAACTGTATACTGCTAAAGCCCAATCATATCACATGAATAAAATTGGATAATGCTAACAGTATATAGTACCCCTCCGTCCCAAAATAAGTGTCAACTTCAGCAAAACTTATTTTGCAATGGAGGGAGTATATAGGAACAACAACAAGCTAACAAAACTGAAATGTCTAGTTAATCATTGACATAAGATGCAGTTATTTAGCAAAGTAACTTATTGATGGTTGATTAAGATAAGAGATTATGAGATTGGGCACTGCATGACTTCTAAGTCAAACAATGTTACAAGAATGGACATAAGCAGAGGTACAGTACCAAGAACCAACTATCCACTATTTGAATCTTTGTTCTAATACATCTCAGCAAAATAGGTTTGCTTAGGTGCTTTAGGTTGTACAAAAGATATTCAAAAGGTAAAAGGCATATATGCATTTAGTTTCAAAAGCAATGAACAGACATGATACAGAAGAATAAGCCAAGGCTAATTATAGACGACGAAATAATTTGTTGATGATATACATTTGAAGGACAAAATTCCCAATAAGAAAATGGTAAGATGATTGGAAACTGTACTAGAATCCAGCTTGCAGGCAAAGAATATATACCTGTAAGCCTTTGGGAACCCTTTTCACATGAAACATGCAGTTTGTACACAATAGTATTCCTTTCATTTGGGACATCATCTACAAAAGAAAGGAAAAGCATAAGCTGGATGCAACCACGTTTATGAATGTGAAACTACAGATATTTATGACACTGACCAGAGATATAATCAAAAAGCCTTGGATCAGCATCAAGTGGAATAAGGCCTAGTCGGTGTGAAAGGACCTCATCTGCTATAACTGATGTATTGTCAACCATGAAGAGTTTCTCAATGGCCATTGTAGGAACCTATGGATTAATATTACACAATACATATATAATGCTTAGATGTTAAACAGGAAACATATTGGAATACCCAGCAAATGGTTTTTGAGATGGTGACAACAATGTGCATACCTCTGCAATGAGGATTCTCCGGAAAGCATTAGCTATCGATGCATCAACGCCAATCATATCAAACTCCATATCCTCATCTGTAAGTCGATTTATCTCGATTTTAAAGTTCTTGCAGAACTTCTCAACTGAGACACTAGTATCAACTCCCATAGCAGCAAAAGCCCCCGAGTATTGAAACCCCTCTGTCTTTTCAAACATAAAGAGAAAACATAAAAATTAAGATACGAGCTATCCATATAATCATATGGCTGCCTTCAATAACAATAAACAGAAAAAAAAATGCTTCAGAAATCATATGAAGATCATAAATGCCCAATCTGTTCTTAAAGTAGCAACATTTTGCCAGTATAACTGGACAATTATGACACAGCATATAAATACTGCAAAACTGAAAAAAAAATTGGTTTGCAACCAAATTCCTCCAAGTAAATACCTCAGCATGCCAACCTTTTCTATCTAAACCGAGCACAAGTAAACAAGCAGTGATATTTAAGAGAACATGTTCAAGCCTTTTTAAAAGAAGCAAAATAGCACATCAAAACGGTGATGAAAACCAAAATCACCTTCATTTTCAATATATTATACTAATTGGCCAACTGGATGCTAAGAGAGAACGATTTATGTTCCTATGGCAAATTAGGTTATTATTAAATAAGAAGTCTACACTACAGAGGACATGATTCCTGCGGAAAAAAAAATGTCACCGCAAACAATTTAAGCGCATAAAACACTGCACACGGGCAGAATAGGTGTATGAGAATCACTAAGACGTAAAGAAGCAAAAGAACGGGGTGGGGAGTAGATGGATACATGAGTGGGGGCATCGGCCTTGCAGAGAACACGGGTGCGCTGGAGCTCAAGAAAGTCTGGCAATGAGGAACCATCGCGGTTTTCCATCCCCGCCGGAGCGAAGCGAGGCTGGGGGAGGGGGCGGCGGTCGTGGCCTAGTGGCGGCGGCGCGGTCGGAGACGGGAGAGGACAAGGGCACGAGGCGGCTGGGTAAGGAGAAGAGAGAGAGAGGCTGAGCGAATATACAAGCTTGCTGGGCGCGGCGGCGGCGGGGGGGCAAAGGTTCTTCTCTTCTACAGGGAGCAAAACCCTTCTGCGCTCGCTCCTTGGGCCCCGGTGTCAGCTGCCCTGAGAGCTGTCTTGGTGGGCCGTGCATCCCGTGCCGCCTGATTGCCTTGCTGTAAGCGGATTAGCCTCTCATCCACCATACAATCTCAATCCAACGGCTGTTGTACCCTCATCATACATCCTAGTTATTTCACGAATTTCGCTTAGTTAAAAAATCACTTCTTGGACCGCAAAATGAGGGGTGCAGCTGTCATTGGATAGAGAGGGCTAAAGCAACTCTAGCAGAGTCGCCACAGTGACGATCGTCATAATGCATATGGAACGCGATTCATACGGATATAAAGGTTATTGAGACGACACGCAAACATAATGTTATCATATCTCAACCTCCATATTTTTTTCCCGTTTTCTCGTTCAAACACTTAGATTCTCTCCAAAAATAAATGTTTGACACATCAAGAAATCATGGACATATATAGTTTTAGAGAAGTTGCAAAAACAAAAATATTAACCAGTGACATGTCAAAATCACACCGCGTCGTTGTGTGCACCAGCCCTTCTGTTAGAGTCTGCACCAACCCCTCCTCCTCCGGTGTGAGTATAGTGCTCTTCTTCGAGGTTTCTTGAATCTATGATGATATCTCGCGCATTCTCCCAAAATTCTTGAGCCCCTGGAGCCATTGTACCCGGATACATCGTGTCGAACTGATTTTTTTAAACGGAGGCAAAAGGTGATGAACTGATTCTGGTCGTGTAGGCGGGCATCTCTTATCTGACCCCCCCTTAATTTGAAGCCTACTCCACTCCATCTCTGACTTAAGTTGGAGCATCTTCTTTGTCTAGCCGACGTTGTTTGCTCTCTTGCATAGCCTCCTATCTCGCCTTCTTCTCTTTGTTATTCTTCCTCGTCATCAACATCATCTCCGTCGTCATCCACCTTCGAAGAGGAATTGACGCCCTTCACAGATTTTGGATTGGCGTCCTCATACCTCATCTTTCACTTCTCATGCTCTTCCGACAAATCCAAACAATATAGGAGGCAAAATGGATTGCCCTTCAACTTGACCATTTTGTTTGTACCTCTCTTGAGCTATCTCGTCCTAAAACATACAAATGCATAAACATGATGAGAATATTCAAAGTAATGGAAATATGGCAATGAAACAACAGCAAAATTGCTTACGTATTGAGCAATGGTTGAACTGCTAGGAGGAGCGTGCTTCACTTGCTTCTTGCAACCCGCTGAACGGTTGCACATGTCTTGAACGTACCCCATCGTTTTGTGAGAGATTTGAGTGTATGTTTTGTTCTTCGTCCAAGATAAAATATGAAACGCTCCTCAATGCACTTCCAATACTCTCATGCTGACTGATTATTCCCGACGATCACATCAAGGAGGTACCTTGTCATGTCCAGACAAACGCAACATTATCATCGGGCTTAAAGTTATTTCTCTGAATTGCCTTCTTTGATGGGTCGGTGGCATCGAAATGATCGAATTCCATATCTTGGACGGAATCATGATAGGGAAGCGACAACGATGCGCCCTCAAAATCAACATCGTTTGTTCTGAATTCAACAATCATTATATAGAGAAAATCATCATTGTTCAGGGTCAACTCTCCCAAATCGAGGATGTCACCACTAAATCACAAACATTGCACATTTGCCAACAGTTTTGCACGGTTACCTCGCATTCAATCGAACAAAACCCTAATACACGGCAAACATTTTTTTTACCTCATGGTCGTTGCTGATCCAACGCACGATTGGGAAGCCACCCTTGTTTAGCCGGTTGTCAGAGGAAGCAAGGAGGGGCAAAGGCACCCGCAGTGCCCTTCCTCTTCTTCTAGTTTGGTTCCTTTGCTAAGGACCGCCGCAACACTCTAGGCGAAGGCAAAGGCACCTCCACTCGAGACTCTTCGCCGGTAGGGTAGAGGTCGGTCGTCGCGACTGCTGAAGTCGTTGGGTCTGACTCTAAAAACAAACGTCTAGACACGGACATGTCTATGTGTTGTCGTTGTATTTCATAAGGCAGATTCCCACTTTGCTGATTACTCGTTTGTTTCCGCTGCTCCACGACTTTCACCGTGGAGGCCGTTCAAAAGTCCTTGATGGGTCTCAGATATCGGGATCACATGATCCATTTTCTAAATTTAAAAAAAACACGTATCCAATTTTTCTTTGAAAACGTCCTCTCATGTATAGGACTGGGAATGTATCCGGTGCACCTACACTTGTGGTGATACCGGTGCACCATATGCCATAAAATATTTTTTTAAAATCTGGAAAAAAAATCTAGCACGTTAACGCAACATCAATGTATGATGTCACCAAAATTTGTATAAAAATTAAAAATATTTTTTGAGATACAAAGCTGATAAATTTGACATCGGTGTGATAATGAGTCAAATCTAAACTCAAATTATGTTGTGTACTATTCAGTGTTGAATTTATGATTTTTGCTTTTCGTGTTATGTTTCAAATTTTGATTTGAAATTTTGTGACAACCTACGTTGATGTTGTCTGAGTGTGCTAAACTTTTTTTAGAAATTTTGAACATTTTAAAAGCACAATATGAGTTCGGTGCACCGGTAGCACCACAAGTTACGGTGCACCACAAGCTCCATGCACCAGATATTTTCCCGTATAGGACTTGATGTTTGGGGAAGTGCATCGATGAACCCGTGTACATATGAACCCACTTTAGAAAACATATCTCTAAATGCTAAAAAGAAAATCTGGAAAAGGTTGCACGAATACGTCTTCATGTTTTATATGCGAGCATAAAGTTTCATGGAAAAATAACATTTTTTTGTGGCCTGTGCAAAAAAGACAAAAAATTGTGTCATAGGACACTATCTAGAAACACTTAAATTTATCTTTTTTGCGGAGACAAAATGGAAAGCCATTTTTTCACAAAACTTTATGCCGCACGCACACACTTGCGAACATGTATGGTGGAGTTTTCTTTTGAATTTTTTGACATTTTAAAACGTGTTTAAAATGCATTTTTCAAAAAGTGGATACATATGCCCATGGGTTCAGGACGTGCCGACTCGTGATGTTTGTTTCCTGTTTTCAAGCTTACCAACCGCAAGTTAGTTTCACCAAATCGAAGATTTTACCATTTCTCTCCACACTATCCAAGCATGGGCAGTACGTGTTAAAGCACGAGTGCCTGATTCACACTTAACGGATCCGCAACAGAGACAACAGATATAACTAAAAAACTATGCCTCATCATTTGCTGCATAACTGTATGTCGTAACCAAGGTTCTCCAGAAGAAGAGGAAAAAGCTAAACTAAACTAGTTTACAAAATTAGCAAATTACATGAAAATCTGGAACAGTCATTTGGTTATCTTGTCCTACACCTGCCGATTCGTCATTCTGAGATAAGGAGTTGGCATTAAATCACAAGCACTGAAAAGCAGGCCGAAGATTTCCTGAAGGAAATCTCAGTCATGTCCTCTGTTTTTTTTTCTGTAATGCGGTGACCTCAGCTGGAAAGAATCCGCGACAAAATGTCTTGTGCATACTGGAGGAACATCTTGAAACCTTTTTTGTACACCCGAAAATCTTTCTCATGTTGTGTCAGCAAGATACAGGATGGTGAGATAGGACATAAATAAAATCTTCAGGCACAAGCACCAGTCAAACTATAGCCCAGAATTTCTTCCTACAAATCAACACCTGCTCCGGCCTGTTTTCCTCATTTTCCAACGTGTGAGTGGTGACATCCCATAGGAACTTTGGTGCGAGATCACTGATTCTTGAGAGAGTGGTATTCTCATCTCTGATAATGATAAAACCCTGCATTTCCAAAATTATTGTAATGCAGAATGGATTATTGTCTATGAATTTAATTTCCATCACTATATTATCATATTTGATCTATGGTATTCGAGAAAGAGAAACATAGAAGCTCATGCGACACAAAAATATTTCTAAGTGGCGAGAAAGGTTGCTTGCAATTTATACTGCATTAGGTACAAATCATTTCTTGCACATGGCCAATTGTTATACATTGATAAACAGGCTGATTAGACCACATACTATCGTATTTCCCTGGACAATCATTTTTTGCACATGACCATTTATGATATTTCAATCAGTAATTAAGTGGCCTTGCACAAAACCGTCATAAGGCATGTTCCACACCATTTGGGGAAATTTTAAATCAAATTGAAAATTAGTCCTTAACAAATCTAGTAAAGTGATTAAATAAAAACCTGACTGATGGCATGTTCAAACATCGAAGGAGCAGTTTTCACTAGAAAAATGATGTGCTCCCTCTGTTCACTATTATAAGACGTTTTGCATATTTCAATATGGACTACATACGGATTGAAACGAGTGAACAAACACACTAAAATGCGCCTATATATATCCGATTCAGAAAAAAGTTAGAACATCTTATAATAGTGAACGGAGGGAGTACTTCTTTAAGAAAATAGATCCAATGACAAGAGAAGACATTTCCATTCTATTTGTCTGTGAAGATACAACAAATAGATATACCTAAAATATTAGATATTTAAAGCAACAAGACTCTGCTTAGGCATCTATTGTGAGATGAACATGAATCACTCTTTCAATGAACACGAATCACTCTTTCAAAAATTAAAACCTTTGGTAGAAGGAAGAAGAAAAATACTGTTCTTACAAACATTGGCAACCTAGATATGATATGCAATGTGTAAATACATATTTGAATCAAGGCCACGTATTTCGAGTCTAACTTTGACCGTCGATTTGGCCATTAAAACATATGTTGTATACTTATGTGTACTAAGAAGTACACCATTGGAAAGTTTTTCAAATATGAATCCAATTATATACTTTTTGTGGCATATAACTCATATTTTGTTGGTCAAAACAACGGTCAAAGACAGAAACAAAATACAAGGTAGTTGAGTATATAAAAAGGAGGGAGTATATATCAATATTACCTGTGGACGAATGATGCGATCTATTTCTAGCATGATATCTTCCAATAAGCAACCTCCTACATGACCTTGATAATGTGAAAAGAGGTGGAAAGCATGTAGCAAATCATATGACCTAGGATATGTTGAGAATGGCTGACACCTGCAGCATAATGGTTTTTGTTTCGTCATAACAAGGGAAATAGAGGTTTATATGTTCAGAAGAAATACTAACCAGTCATGGTAGGAACCAATTAACCCCCGGTCATAGATAGCAGGCAGTGTGTTGATGGTTGTATAGGGTACTATATTCATAATCCAGACAGGGTCAGTGCTTAGTGCCATAGCAAATCCACCATAATTAGCATTCATGTCCATGATATTCCGTATGCTAGTCTTTTCAACACCAAGAAATGACCAGTACTTGCGAACCTGGTCCCGCCAGAACTGGTTATTATTCTCAAACTTCTCTGGAGTAACTCCTAGAAAACATATTCCAGAAAATAGTTTATACTTATACATATGTGCTACATGATCGAGCCAAAGATCAAACTAGATTTACCTAAAAAATTATTAGTACAATTTAAATCACAGATGGTACATCTGCAATTTACAGAAATATTTGTGTGCTTCAAGAAGTAACATGTCATATTTGTGAAATGCCACACCCAAACTGTTTTCCTATCACTCAAAATTATTGTCTTGCTCAATTAAAGCCTTATGTGAGCAGTAATATCAACATTTCAATAGTAAGGTCAAGGAATGTCAAATAGGACTCTGCCACAAGAATGACTTCCAGGGTTGGCAGGCCGTTAGGCAGAAAAGATAACTCTTCTTGAGGCCCCCACCGGTGCCTCCGGACTTCCTAACGTCGTTGTCAACCGCCACATCCCAACCTGGGAAATTCTTAACCCGATTCCCTTCTGGGGTCTAAGTGCTGGGGTTACCCTTCCCTTAGGATTGGCTTGCTAACACTAAGGAAAGGTTGATGTTCAGTGCTCCAAAATTGGTCAGCTCTTTAAAAAACCTTAATATTTGAAGGGACAAAAAAAAGCTTTAAACAACAGGCCTACGCTCAGAAAAACTCCAGTAAGCCACTGACAGTCAGCTAGTTGCAAGTACCACAGCCAATAACACTACACAATAAGCATACTTGCTTTTTTCGATTTTCAAACATATGTTAAACATAGAGGAATTAGTTTCACTTCAAAATTTTGAGCTCCAGAATGGAACATGGCCCAAACATGCAGAACCAAAACTAGCTCGTTCTTTCTCTTTTGTAGGCAATGGAAATGGACTGACCTATTATTTCCAAACTCCTCGAATAAAATAACAGGCGTTCAGGTCTGGAAGGCAGTTTCTGAATTTTTGATTGGTCCGTGTTCAACCGAATACAGTTCATTAATGGAGCTTGCCATGAAGAAGTGTCACTGGGGTCACAGATATTCAGGATCCCCGTATCAGCATTTTTCTGTCGGCAAGATTCATCTTCAGGTTTGATCCATATAGCAGTCTGAACATGCTTAGCAATAAGCTTCCAACACATTGCTGATGTGATATTAATTAGCTTCTCCCAAATAATAGGGAAATCTTTATCTTTTCTATAAGCTGGTGGGGCAGAATATACAAAATATCCATTAGGTCGCAAAAGACGATCGACCTCTTTGAGCAATATTCCATCTGCAAAAAAGGAAAGAGCTACTGGTTGAACGGTGCGTTTCTAAAGTAGAATTCATAAACAAAGGATCATCATCAGAAGGAACTTTTAGTAGAACAAAAATATCAATGATGAAAGAGGACACATTTTCATGCGAACCAACTTACTTTTAAGGGCTTGTTACAATAAACTGAAAACAGAATATAACTGACTAGACCCCACATAAAAACGCTGTCGCATCTCAAATTTTGAAATGCTCCATAGCTTAGCATAAACACTAACAGTATGTGAATCTTACCATTTTCATGCCAGTCAACACGACATCGGGAGCAATGAACCATTTCAAATGAATTTCCAGGATATGGCAATTGCTTTGTGGCCAACACAGAGATCATTGCACCGATCCCACGCTCTAAAGCAAACTGGATTTGATTCTCATGGCCATCTTTTGGCGCGAATGACATAGTATGAATATCTAGGGGAAGAAGATAAGCAGAGAAGCTGGCAACACCGCATCCAACATCCAAAACTTGAACAACTCCTGCGGAACGGAGATCACCAGTACTATTGGTTGTCATATTTCCTAGCCTGCATTGATCCATTACAGAAATTATCTCACTGAAAGATCTTTTGTACAGAGTGTTTATGCTTCAAGTAGGATGTTTGCTAAAGAGGAACAATAACAGATCAAAGTTGACAATGCTCAGAATTTTGCTACTAGGCATCACACCCAAATATTTATTTACAAGATATTACAAGGATCAAACCATTCTACAGCCTAAATATTAAACTACACACCAGGAAATTAGGCAAGCAATCCAAGGTTACCTCTCTATGTATTCTGATGCACCACGCTTGAAGTGAGTGCCACCGCCAGGAAACCACCAAAGCTTACCATTCTCATGCACCCAATTCTGTCCTCCTTTTACCTCAGAAAGGTGTGAATGGTTCACATTACTACGCCATACATAGTCCCGACTTGTTGGCCATCTTATCGGTATCTTGTAGTCATTTGGTGGGGACACCAAACAGAACAAGCTCTCCTCTCGTGGAGGGCATTTAGCTTCAAGATCCTCGTGTCTAGATCTATCCAGGTTCCTTAAGCTTCTTATATAGGCGGCATTATGACAGGGAATATACTCGTTGTATTCCAAAGGGCACACATCAAGTCCATAATCAGGAACTGAGATTGACGCCGTTCGATAAGTAACACCAACTTTGTTTGTGAACTCTGAAGCATCTGCAAGTGGAAATCAAACAGGTTTAACCTCTTTGGCATGGAAACGTTCGCATGGTACACTAGGGATTCTAGATAGATGCGCCACATGGTACATTTCTGGCGTAAGCTGCAACTCAGAGAAATAGAAAAACAAATCTAGAACCAGGACAAGCTGTCAAGACCAAACTGATAGTATAGCTTTGCGTATGAACTGAGACAAACTAAATCAAGGCCCAGCAGATTTACATCTTGTCGGAGACAAGCGCGGCAATTTCGGAGAGTGAATTTCTCAAGCATTACACCTCTAGTGACAACGTAGGAGCATCTGAGATAACCTGAATAGGAAGCTTAAAGCCGCGGCGCGTATTGGACAGAACTGAACAAATAATTGCGATCCAGCGGCGGATCGACAGGGGAGGCGTGCTCTGTGGCCCGGGAGCGGAGAGTAGATAGGTACCTTGGGGATTGGATGAACCGGGCGACCGGGAGACAGAAGGGGGCAATATGAGCGCGGGGGAGGCGGAGGACTGGAAGAGGGTGCCGGCGTAGAAGGAGGCGGCGACGAGGGCGACGCCCAGCAGGAGCAGCTGCACCGACCGCGGCTCCGCCGACGCCGGCGAACACCACCGCCCCATTATGCTGCTCTCACTCTCACTTCCCCTTCCTCAGCGTCAAGACGATCTCTGCTTGGAGGAGATGGGGAGTTGGGGACTGAGTTCATCCCCCCTTCCTCTATTTCTTTTTCCATTAAAAAGTACTTCCTCCCTTTTAAAATACTTTGAACCTTAGGTTTCACTAGCATAAATCTTTGACTATCACTTACTCTATTGGTGTATCTACTTTATGTGGCATAAAATTAATTTCATCACCGTACTCCCTCTATATAAATAAATTAATATAAGACGTTTTAGTTTTAGTTTATAGAGGGAATACCTTTTTTGTGTTTATAGTCTTATATTACCGAAAAGGGCTTTCGCCCCGCTTTATATTATAAAGCACATGCCCAAGCCAACATTCCACATAGGTTCACACATACGCAAACACACACACAAGATCCAAAAGGGTTAATGCTGAGGGCACA